GGGGGGGGGGGGGGCAAGTTGGTGAATTTTTCATTGGGGTCTGATACTGGTTGTGGACAACGCCTGCTTCTACTGGCTGCAAGGACCCTTGGGAGGGAGGAAGGGAGGGAGAGCGAGAGAGAGGCCTGCCCATACATTAACCACATACTGCTCTGTAATTTCATCCTCACATTCACAAACGGGCACGAATGCACACACAAACACACAAACACACAAAGTGGAGTGGGTACCAAGGTGGAGTGGGTACACTGGTAAATGGCTATTGTAGGAAATGTCAGCTTGCAAGATGTCAAAGTGGGCAAGAGGAAGAGCTTTTCCTCGTTTCTAGTTTCCTAATGATTAAATTTGAAGATTTTTTTCTTGTTTTTTTCCAGAGGGTTGGAGGTTGGATAATGTAGTAGTTTCAGCCTAGAAGGTAGCTTTGGGGAGGGCCATAGCTACCATTGAGGCCATGTCCTCTGCTTATTTAGGAGCCTGAGAGGACCAAACAACCTGAGAGGAGTTTACACTTATTCAGTTAAGAATTTAAACATGGTTGGCAGTTTACATTAGACTAAATAAATTCGATTTTACAAGTTTGAAAAACATGTTTGGATCCTTAGAATAGATAAGATGGTCAATTGATCATTTTAAAATAAGAAAATAAGAAAAATACAAAAGGTAGAAGAGTTTCCTGATATATCAACAACATATGAAAACATCTATTTTCTTATAGGTGCATGCAAAATAAATAATGCATTTTGGTTGGAAAATATTTTTTCAATATGATGCATTTCAGCATTTGTTTAAAAGACTAAACGATTAGCCAATAATTTGTTTAGTTGATCAAATATATTGTTAAACAATTCAAAATATCGATTCATTGTTTAAATTAATTATTAAGACAAAAATATCAGATTATTTATATTAAATTTTACAGTTTATTTCATTATATAGTTAATATTTTTGTATACTGTTTATTGGACAAACAAAAGTAATTTTATGACATCACCTTAGGTTCTTATGATGGGGCAATTTTACAGTCTAAACACCTAATCATAACAATAAATAATGAAAATAATCATTAGTTGCAGCCCTAATTTGTTTGAGAGACATTTTCTATTTAATTTATAATAAATAGGATATATTTCCTTTCCAAGTTTGATCATTTGGTACACTTAAATATTGATGCTGTTCCATTTTGTTGAATTTCATTATGTTGCAATTAGATAATAAACATAAACAAAACTTAGATTTTGTGTTCCAGCTCGTAAATCTGTAACTTCCCCCTTCCTAAAGTCAGAATCTATTTTCCGAGTGTCTCTTCAGTGCAGTCCTAAAACATGTGGCCTATGAGCCTATTACATAACAGATGTTCATAAAGTATACAAAATAAAAAAACGTGCATTTTAGGAAAGTGAAACTCACTGTCCAAAGTATCAAGAATAATGCAAATATGTGCTGTAGAACAGCAGCCATACTGACAGCGATCTGAGCCCTGTGCTACTTTAAGGTACCGAGCAGAAGACTTTAACATAATCCAACAGCTCTTCACGTATTCAGTGCACAGGCCAGAGAGAGAGAGGACTCCCAATTTTCACTGAGCAATATGTTTCATGTCTTCTTTAGCTTTGACCTTTGAATGGCCCCTGATGCTCGGCACAGATAAATGTGCCATGTTGGAAAGAACAAAGTGCTTTCAGACCATTTGTATTGAGCAAGCTTTTGATGAACACCTCAAATGCTACAATCCAGCATGGGGACATTCCCATATATGTGCACATTATTGATTTAGGTACAAAACCTTGCCTGCATCAGGCAAAGGACTTCCCTTCAGGGTTTGTTTTTTTGTAAAAGGCTTGTACTCTGTTTATGATGTGAAATGATAAAATCAATAGTTTTGTTTTTTTGTTCTAGACGATTTTGTCCTTATTATCTCATGAGGCCGATCTCCACAGGGGTCAGTAGCAGCAGCTAAAGTGAAAGTCACACTACAGGACTGCTGGAGCAACCTCCAAGTGTCTCTGTGTCTAATCCCGGCTCTGGCATGAAACTTTCACACCCGTGGCTGCTCCGAAAACGAGCACAACAAATGTTTTAAAATGTAACACTACCATATCTACATCCTGAGCCCTTGCCCTAGCAGTGATAGCACCTGAACACACTATGAAAAAAGATAGCGGCAAACACTGAAATATCATTTGATAACAATTTCATATTTTGGCACAAGGGCAAACGAATGTTGAAAGTCCACCTGTCCCTCTTGATCTTAACAGTTCTGTTCTCCATAGACAGACTTAACTAAGCTCTGGTCATAAAATGTTATCATTATTTGAATACTGGGGCAAAATGATGCTTAAAGCAGACCACAGTCTACCATTCATTACATAAGACCAAAACAAAGAGTCACACAGTGAAGGGTTATGGCTCGGGGTCGGGTGACAGCAGCATATGATTCATGGCTTGCTGTGCCCTTTTGTCTTCTCCTCCTTGTGGTGGGACCGTCCACTGCTCTTAGCCAATGTTATTTCACAGCCTTCAGAGCTCGCTCCCTGTCTGTTTCAAGTAAACCGGCAATGTCATTTCCTATGTCTTGTTCTTTCCTTAGTGCAGAAATAAAGAAAGAAATATGGCAT